TGCGTGGTGGTGCATTGAAGTCAATGGCACCGCAGCCAGGCCCCCCGCCCACAGTGCGGTCGCCAGGGCCGGCCTTTATCAGGCCAGGCTATAGGCGGATCCTGCCTCAAAGACGGCGTGGGCGGCTGTCCCTGCCTTGCTTGGAGGAGCAGGGATGAGGAGTTCGTATGGCATGCGCACTGAGAAGACAAAGGCGGTAAGAATCCGCAGAAGCAGGCAGCAGATCTACAAAACTCTTTTCTGTAAGTAAATTCTTTTTTTATGAATCCAGTGTACTGCTTAATGTCTGTTTTGTATATTATTAGTTACATAGGGTGTTTCTTAAAGGAACAGTAAATACAAAAGTAAAAAATACTTTATTGAAATTATGTCTAAAATTTGATAGTAAATTAACAGGTGGTATTATACCTTGTGATTTACTGTATAGGTGGCATCATTATACTGTGTGGTATGCTGTATAGGTGGCGTTATTATACCATGTGATTTACTGTATAGGTGGCGTTATTATACTGTGTGGTATGATGTATAGGTGCTGTTATTATACCATGTGCTTTACAGTATAGGTGGCGTAATTATACCGCGTAATTTACAATACAGGTGGCGTTATTATACCATGTGATTTACAGTATAGGTGGCGTCATTATACCGCATGATTTACTGTATAGGTGGTGTCATCAAACTGTGTGGTATGATGTATAGGTGCCTTTATTATACCATGTGCTTTACAGTATAGGTGGCGTAATTATACAGCGTAATTTACAGTATAGGTGGCGTTATTATACCATGTGATTTACAGTATAGGTGGCGTTATTATACGGTGTGATTTACAGTATAGGTGGCGTTATTATACCGTGTGATTTACAGTATAGGTGGCGTTAGTTGGGCTCCTGCAGCCCAGCTATAAGCTATTGACGTGAGATCTGCACTTCAATAGCTTATTTCTAGTGTAAAGGTGACACTGGGGGTCTTTTGGACCCCCAGCATCACCTTAAAGAGTACCTGTCACCACCATCTGCTATCACATGGGGGGGCTTGATTGATAGCAATCAAAAGAAAAAAAAACAACAGTTTTAAAAATTAAATAAAATAAATCTAAAAACAATTTAATTTTTTTTTAAAGTTTCCCACCCCCGCGAGCACGAGCATCACCACGTAACCATGCGTCGGGTGCGCCTATGTACGAAAACGATGAACGCACTACACATGTTGGGTATGGCCGTGCATGCCGGAGTGAGAGCAATAATTTTGGGGCCAGTATTTTTGGGTATCTCTAAATTGATGACATGTGGGGTCTTTAAAAGCGTCATCTATGGACTTTTTGGGGTACTGAAGCTTGTCGCCATTTTACGGAGGCGTACAATTTTTAACCTGGGCATGTTGGGTATCGTTTTACTCCGTGTAACCTCATCTTTTAGTAAAAAAAATGGGTATTTCTGTGTGTTTAGGGGCATTTAGGTACATTTTACACTAAATTTTGAGGTTTGATACGGAGTTGCGCTAATATCATGCAACATAAAAATTTGCAACTGCCGCCATTTTATTCTATAGGGTCTCGGCTTTCAGAAAATATATAATCTTTGGGGGTTCTAAGTAATTTTCAGGCCTAAAATATGAAATATAACATGGGTGCAAAAAAATTGAAAAAAAGGCTTCAGTCATGAAGGGGTTAATACTAGGGCTGGTACTGATTAAAATTTTCTAGTTCGATTAATCGATTTTTTTTTAAAATCGATTCATTTCGATTCATTATAACGCACATACAGATCCAACTACTTTTAGCTGATCTGCTTGCATTGCAACTCTGCATTAGTCAGTGGTAAATGTGGTATACACTATATACAATCACCCGACACTAGTTAGTTTCAACAATCCATGACTTAACTTCACAGTTCACACAAATACGTTTTAAATTCAAACTGTAGCACTGACGTAAGTTATTTTTTTTTAAACTTAAAGAAAAACGTAGAGAGTTAATTTTTTTTCTTTTTTTTTTAATCTTACTATCTTTTACTTTTTATCATTTTCATTATTATTTTTTACCTATTTTTTCATAAATGTTTATTTACTTTATAATTTTTTATCAATTTTTATTAATTTCTTTTATAAATTTTTATTTTTTTCAGTTAACTTTATTGCTATCACACAGGAGCTAGCTAACAAGCCCCTGTGTGATGGCCTTTGGAGGTGACAGGTTCTCTTTATTGAACCTGTCACCTCCAATACAGGAGTTCTAGCACAGCACTGTGCTAGAACTCCTGTGACAGCTGAGAGGAAGGGCTGCGAGTGCAGCTCTCCTCTCATTGTCTATATGGTAGCGCCGGGCCTGGGCCCAAGTGGCTCCATTGGCTAAAGGAGGGAAGGGGGGAGGAGTCCGGTGACGTCGATGTCCGTGACATCACCGGATCTCCGACGGGACCCGGAAGGCAGTGGAGAGGTGAGTACTGATCACATGAATTTTGATTGATTAAAAAATGTAATGATTAATCGGTAATTTCCGCAGCCCTAGTTAATACCTTTTGAATAAATGTTTTATTTTTTATCATAGCTTGTAATCTGTTTCTTGGGGACTTAACGGAATGGGTGGCTTTAAATGGAGCTGTATTGGAGAAATGGGTGTGGCCACTGAAAGGGTGTGGTTACTGAGGGGTGTGGTTACTGAGGGGTGTGGTCGCTAGGGGGCGCTGTAAAGCTTTCTCGCACAGGGCGCCTAAAGGCCTAAGGCCGGCCCTGGCGGTCGCCCACACCCAAAAACGTGGCACATTAGTGCCTGCATTCCGGTCCAGTGCAGATCGCCGAACACTCTGGAACGCACTCTTTGTGGTGTGAATCTGCCTGAAGTGCAGCGAAATCTCCCAAATGAGCAACAGATGACAAAAAACTGACAGTGGTTTTAACACTCCTTACTCTATCCAAAATGGAAAAATATTGGTTTTAGATATACTTTAGGCCAGTATTCATCACCACCACCACATATGTTGTACACCTATAGACTGTGCGTACAAAAGAAAGCTTAGACTGGAGATGCACTGTAAGATTTTTATTATCCACTTCATGTGACTTTGTAGACCAATATAATGATTTTAAGTATATCGAGATCATGGCAATACAAATCTTTTTTACATTCCATATATTTATGCCTCCTCATCATATCTTGTTACTTGGTACAGCCATGTTATCTCACAATTATGATTAGACACTTTTAAAGCCCCATATTGCGCTGTTTTTTTAATGTAAGATTTTTATTAGCAATATGCCTGAGCAATGTCATGCACACTGTCCTATTAAAGTATAGCTACTTTTTTTGGATACAGTAGGACATGGTTAAAACCCTTTCAGGCTGTTTTGTGCTGACTGTGCCCCACTGGAGAGGCTGTCTTCACTTCAAATTCCAGAGACTTCACAGGAAGTGATAAGAAATCGCCCCCACTTAGACAAATGTGTCACTAGAAAAGGTGTCCCCACTGGAAGATTTCCCCTCATGTTGTGTTTCAGTGACAGCCATAACATTTTGGATTCCCTATGACTTCCTGTACCACTGCCAATAGTCACCAAGATAAACATGAACTATACAAAAAGCCAAATATTAATAAAAGAAGGCTCTAACTCTTCTCTATTCTGTCCAAAATGAAGCTAATTTTAAATTTTCTCACAGGATTTGAACTTGCAGAGTCAGCAACTTTCTTGCAAAAGAATAAAATGCCAGCACACTTCAATGTGCTGCATGCAGTGGTAACTTGTGGCGTACTACTTATTCTTCGGCAGGATATTCCCTGGGACACGGGGGTTATAAGACAACAGTCAACTATGGAAATGTAGCAAGAACAGGTTGTTGGATCTTTTTTAGTCTGTGTGGGCTTATACAATCACAGGTTTACAGTAGTCAATTCAGTAAAATTTTATTTTTTGATGTTTGTATACCTTTGGTGGATTTTTCCTCACTTCCCTCCTAGAGACATGGCAGGAAATGAGAGAAAATCGCTACAAATTTGGTAGAATTCCTCTCTAGACAGTTGTCACCAGAACAGGTGTCCCCTTCCTTTTACTTCTTCTGGTGACAGCTCTAAAGGTTTGGATTTCCCATAATGTTTTTTTGCTTCAGTGACAATGGTGACCAGGACAAACAGAGAGAGGGAGGCAGTCAATAATAAAAACTTTACAGCAAATCCAACTGCTCCCTGTTTTGTCCAAAACTAAAAAAAAGAGTTTGGGCTAAACATTCACTGTAAAGATGAGTTTTGTTTGGTCACTATAAGTCCCCGCATTTTGTACATTGCTTGATGCCCTAATATTGCACATTGGGTGGCACTATAAGGCCTCATTCACACTGGTACTCCATAGTTTAGATTTTGTATACAAAGGAGACGTTATCTAGGAAGTATTAATACATGTTATACCTCCTTCCTCAACAAGGGTACCATAGCTTACTCAAGGGTGCCTCCAAATTTTGTGGCAGAGGGGCTGTGATGTGAAGTGGGAATCTTGATTTGAAGGGGCCACTTTAATGTGAAGGGGAAAGCCCGCTTTTTGTGTGATTCTACATGGGATCCCCCTTACAATTTATGACATTTTAGACTGGGGTGCCTTCAAAGTTTTCATAATTTTAAAGGGTGCTGTGACTAAAAAAAAGATGGAGAAGCGCTGTTCTAGATCACTTTTTTCTGCATTTAGATGTTCCCGCTATGTTTAGTCACATTTAGATGCATTTAGATACAGTATGTTTACCCGTATTTAGACACGTAGAGAGTTTCTAATTTTATCCTGAATGCCAAAATATTATTATCTCTAAACACAGCTAAACTAAATGCACCTAAACACTGGCATATGCTCAGTTTGAATGATACCAGAGAAAAATCATTGTATGCATTTATATGAGTTTAGCAATATCCTGTAAAGGCATATTAATGAAGGTTTGGCATAACCAGTGTGAATGAGGATTAAACTTTCCAGCGTTCTGTTGCAAAAGGTGAACAAGACAGATTAGCATTAAATTCTTAGTTTACCTTTAAATCTCTGGTGGGAGTCTGAGGCGAGAAGTACAGCTAAACCCAGGCCAATTCCTGAAGAGCATCCAGTGATCAGAACCACTCTCTTCTCCATTTGAACTGCTAGCAGAATACAAACCCATAAAATAAGCTTGTCTTCCTGGACTAGAGAAGAAATTCCTCCGTCCTTCTGCCTGGAATCTCAGCTGTTTTGTCTATAGCTAATGATTCAAGGCCTTCAGCTGGCATTGCCCTCTGCTTCTCCTTCCCCTTATAAGCATCTGTGTGCAGAGGAGGAAAAATAAAGCATTAGGCATCAGTGAGAAAGGCAGTCCTGTTTTTTATTTTTAAAGTAATCTCTATGATTCTCTGGCCTTAGCTGTTCCTATGTTAGAATATATCAATTAAGACATTTGATGAAACAATTATTTTAAATATAGTGAATAATAAAGCAAAACTCAATGTTTCCTCCATATCCCCTACTGGTCAAATGACCAGCTGTCCTGTAGGAGTCCTTCTTCTTCTTGTCCAGTGTTGGCTGTGAGTAGGGGTTGCTATTGCTACTAATCTGCTCCTCAGATTAATAGGGCAAGGGAGTGAGAAAGTCATTGATTGAAGGATTGCTACATCACTTCCTGATTCAGTAATAAACAAAGCGGTCACATGACCGGGGCTAGGGTTGCCTGACATAGGTTTAGCGATGAGGCTGGGTTTGGTATGTACCCGGTTCGCCTGAGTTCACCCAAGCCCACTCAAACTCTTACTTCCACCTCCTCCTCCCGACCCAATCAATTGTGAGGAGGCGCAATTGTTGCCCTTTGTGATGTATAGCTGCAGGGCAGGGAATGTCCCCACTGAAACTGCCGACATGGATTGGGCCAGAAGGAGGGTGTGGTGATCCGGCTTGGGTGAACTAAGGCAAACTGTATTCAAACCAAGCCCAGCCTCATCTCTACACAGGACCAATGTGTCCTTTGCCATGGACGCCATCTTGGTAGAAATATTTCTCTAAAGATTTGGACGTCTATTTTGGGACACAGAAGAGTTATATATTGCCCCTGCTGCATCACCTCTGGGACCTGCAGTGTAGGAAGTACAGGTACCCACTTGTGAGAAAGAGATAGATTTAGCATTAGGGACAGGTTCCTGATAAGGAGGGATAGTTTAGGGAACCACCAGGATACCCCTGGCATCTGGGGAGAGTATGCTAGTATGCTCACCAGTGTTACAGTACCAGCTTATTGGTCTGGCACAAATATGTCTACAACCATTCTGCTAAGACAGTATCCCTTTGTAAGGTCACCTCTGAGAAGCCTTGTGGGCAAAGATTTTAGGAAACGTGCCTCAAGCAACCTTCTGTATGTAAGCCCTGCATTCTTGACCTGCCTTGTAACTGATGTGTATAGGTGGCTTACTGTACAGAGTTAAACTTTGGATATACAATAATAATGCATTGTTGTAACTGCTGATTACTCATTACATGAAGGACCATTTAAAAGAAAACTTGTGCCACTTTTTCCCTTTAAATGAATGTCATAGGGTTAGCTCCACTAACATGTGGGCAGGCCTTACCACAGCATTGTATGATACTTGCATATTAACGTGTGCGTCTTTTTGAGCAGTACTGTCAGCCTAGGCAGATATTCTGATGCACTTCTGGGGTGTGTCCATACAAGCTGCGAAGATGTCTTCATTGCAGACAAAAACTGGTATTCACCCGCTGTCTGGCATGCTGAACAAGCTTTCATAAAAGACTATTTGTGCTGGTGACATATTTGTATCTGCTTAATGTGGTGCCACCCAACCAATTGAGGACACCACATAAAGTAGATATAAATATGTGACCAGCACAAATAGTCTTATATTAATGCTATTTTAGCATGTCAGACAGAAGTGCAATATTTTGGAAATGCAGTGGCCTTCTTCATCAGACAAAATGTCGCTTTCAACATAGTTGTATCTCCATGACAGCCTATGCTCCCACGAAGTAAATCAAATGACTGGGCATCATTCTGCACAGAAATTAACAAGTGCTGGACCGTGCAGCTCTGAGGACAACTCTGCTGGGCAATTGATTTTTGTATTTCTTTAAGTGACCCTGTCATTGAGAGATTGGATTTCTTCCATAACCCTGTTATCATTTTTGATGCCATTGATGTCAGATGTGACACCGATCTCCACTGTCTTTACGAGTTCTGCTGGCCAAAAAGTCCACAGAAGACGCTTTAAAAGCCCCCACAGGTCATCAATTTAGAGATACCCCAAAATACTGGCCCTAGAATTATTGCTCTCACTCTGGCGTGCGCGGCGATACCCAACATGTGTAGCGCGTTCGTCGTTTTCATACGTAGGCGCACCCGACGCGTGTTTACGTGGCGCCGCATGTGCTCGCGGGGGCCTTTTAAAAATGTTTTATTAGATTTATTTTATTTTATTTTAATTTTAAAAACTGTTTTGTTTTTTTACTTTGACTGCTATCACATGGGGGGGGCTTACAAGCTTGTCACCTTTACACTGTAAATAAGCTATTGAAGTGCAGATCGCACTTCAATAGCTTATAGCTGGGCTGCCGGAGCCCAGAACTGACAGCCCAGGGACCGGAAGTGATGCAATCTGCATCGCTCCCGGTCTCATAGAACGGGGAGGGGATCGATGAACGGAAGTTCGTCGACCTCCTCCCCAGCTCCCCGCGGACACAAAGATCGCCGGTCCCGGGCCCGTAGGAGGGGCAACGGAGCCCGGGAAGCACGGCGGGGGTGTCGCGGCCCCTTCTTCGGGACACAGAAGCGATCTGGCGACAGGTAAGTCGCCAGAATCGCTTCTGTTGTAAAGCCGAGTTTAAAACTCTACAAGTTTAAACAGAGTCCCGGCGGCAAAAGTCGCCGGGAGTCTGTTTAAACAGCCCCGATGCTGGCGACGTACACTGTACGTCGTCAGTCGCGAAGGGGTTAAAGGACCATATTGCTATAATTTAATTGTATGCAGGCCTGTCACGATCAAATCTTGCTTTTATTACCCTTATGATTCACCGCAGCACATTACCCTTATGATTCACCGCAGCACACACTACACTGCATTGTGAAATCAAAGGCTGTTTTAGTCAGAACTTCTTGCAAAGGCAAAATCAGAAGTTTTGTTGTGAAATCAATTCCTGTAAAATCACTTCTCTCATCCCTTATTGGAGTGTAAAATATGGAGGTAATAAGGCATAGTACAGATTGTCAGTGTGCTAGTTATGATGTGTAAACAGGGGCATTACTAGACTCTGGTATGCAGGGCACGTGCCCCAGGTCTTCTACTGAGTGCCCCAGGTGTCCTCTGCCATCATCCCAAGTATGATCCTTTCATATTGGTCATCCATTTTTACCACCATCCAAGTAGAATAGTGTTGGGTAGATAATTATAGAACCTGCCATCTTTAATGAAGTACTTGATTTCTACATTTACCTGAACCTCACAATGCGTATTATTTATTAATATATCATTTACTTAGGAGGAACTCCAGGAATTAACAAAATGAACCCTTGCAGTGGGGCCACCCTTTCTTTTTTAAACAATATTATACATTTGATTTATGTTTCTTCAAATGGAATGAGAATCAACTTCAGCCACATGTTAAAAGTTTCCCAACCTTAACATTTTGGTCTCTGTGTTTTGCATTGCCATTAAAAAAAACGTGCAAAACAAATTGCAACGTGCGTTTTCAAGAGTTTCCTATTGAGTGTATAGGGCCAAACGAGCTGAGATCTGCCAAAAAGAAGCTCATGCACTTTTTCCATTGACAAAATGCTTAGGTGTGCACTGGGGCCATATCTGCTAGGACCAAATGCTCAGTGTGGACCAGGTGTTAGTCCCATCTTCTGTGGAATAACCCTGATGACACAGTTCTGGTATTTTTTTTCGTTTTTTTATAGATATTAATTTTTTGTATTTACATAACATAGTACTTTACATTTTAGATATGTTTCATTATAACATTAGGTATGGTATACCCAGAGAAGGTCAAAGTCTTTTATTTCTAACATACTGTAAACCCCTAGTGCCCATCTTCAGCACTTATTGAGGGGCCCTCAGTGCCCCTGCAAACAGTGGTCTATGTTTTTCTTACCTAGGTGCTTACTTAATCCAATGAAGGTAAAAATATTGTTTAAGGGAGAATTACGGGGTGAGTGAAAAACACTGACCCCAAAATTCAAGCCAACCTGTGACACTAAAGCTGTCACAGGTCGGCTCTATTGATCCTCAGCGAGCACATACCACGGATGGCTGACTTCCCGATCCTCTCCATGCAGAGTGCTATGACTGTCAGTCACCGTTCCTCACAGGGATTCCCCCCTCCGCTCTCCTATCCTCCAGTGCTGACTGGAGGAATGGATGGGGAGGGGGTGGGCACAGCAGGCTCTGCCTCTAGAGAGACTTAGACAGCTGTCAATCAGTCAGCGGGGTGGTTTTCAACAGTATTGTTGGGATCTGCCCGGACTGCAGTGCGGCTCTGCGATCAATAGCCCGATATATACTGAGTTTTGGGTCACTAGAGGACATTAGTAAATGTCCTCTTGTGACCCTGAAGAGAACTATGGCCAGAAAAGGTTGGCCCATAGTTCTCTTTTAAAGGCTTAGTTTATTTATTTCACACTATCTTACTTTGTTGTCTATTCCTTTCTCTTTTTATGTTTATTTTCTTGGATCAAACATATCAAACATAATGGAGGTTGCTTAGAGAAATATCAAAGTAATATTTAAAGGGCTGTAAGGACTACAAATATAAAATCGCTGATTTGTAACAGGCAATAAGAGAAGCAATCTCTCACAGTCTAATGTCATTTATTTTCAACTTATGAAACGTATGAATGTACGTTTTGAAAGCATGCCCCCAGTCCCCCAACAACTGTTACAGCAAATTTGACAATCTCTTGTACCATGCACATGGTCTCTGAACATCTCCTGTTGCATGTCTACAATCTCACAGCTTTCTATAGCATTACATTTACTGAATATCAGGGGCATGTCAGGGGCCACGCTTGAGGCCCCTCTATATCATGAGAGTTAGCAACCAGTGTTTTAAACACTCACATACAGTGCTGTTAACATTCTAAAGACTGATATGAAAAGGCA